TTTTCGAACCCTATCTTTCTGTACCCATTTCGATCGTCCCGACTTGAAGTCCCCCTCAGACACCATATGCCGGAAGCCTCACTCGGAAGGCTGGCGAATTCAGCGCGGATCTTCTCTGACGCGGAAGACGCCGTGGGGCCGTGAGTCGCGGAGCAGAGAACGGGGCGCCAGGCCTCGGAGAGGAGCTGCCTCACAGAAACCCTCCAGGATGGCCCAAAGGAGCCGCAAGGGCTTGCCAACGCTCGGCGGCGGCGAGGGGGAAGTGAGAAGGAGAAGGCCTTCTCAGAAGGCGGCGGGACTTCTCAGAAGACTTCGCGCCTTCTGAGAGAAATGTTTTGTGTATTCGGGGAAGGTTTGGAGAACTTCTCAGAAGGCCCGAGGCCTTCCGACCCTTCTGAGAAGGTCCGCCCCTTCTCACTTCCCCCTGGCGCTCGCCGCCGACACGCCAGCCGAGGGAGGGAGGGGCATGATGAATTGGTTGACTGGGGGCGCCTACAGCAGCAAGTTCGCGTCGTGTCGACCCCGTCGGTGGTCCCTGGCACCGCGGGGATCATTCCACCTAGAACGATCGGCCGTTTCCAAAGCGTCAGCTCGTTCAACGTCGATCGACTCTGGGTCGCCAACGGCGTTCAACGCGGCGGGGTCGCCGCCAGTCGACACGACGCGAACATATCGTATGATGGTCCTCACCTTGGGGTACTGGTTGGATAAGGTGGATGTACGTGTTGGACCCTTCCCTACGGCCGTATTCGATGGCCGATGGGCCGCAAGGAGGTCCTCGGCCCCCTCCCCGGACCCCCGACGTCATGATTTGTGCTTGAATAACGTCGACCCTTAAGGTCTCGACCCTATCTGCAAGTCCAATGTTTTTCCCTGAATCGTTTTTTGACGGCCCCGAGGCCTGGTAAAGGTCTCCAAAGGCTGACAATTGCGCCACACCTTCTGTCATGAGTTTTTCATGGCTCGAGGGGGTCTGGGCCTACCTACTGACGGCATGGTGTCCTGGTGTAGTGGTGAAATGGTGGGAGAGGGCGGGCCTAAAACAACTGCATATGACCTCGGGCTTCTACTGACCCGGGTCGAGGCAAGCACGGGCCTGTCAGGCTCTGCAGGATCTTCCAGGATCCTCCGTGCCTGCAGGATCCTGCGCGCTAACCTGTGCCAATGCACCCCTGGTTCTGCGGGATCCTGCAAGATCTGGGGCTCTGGATGAACCCCGTTTGCATTGATACCCGTCTCAAGGCTTGAGGGGCAACGATAGGGAGGACTGGTTCAGGCGGAGATGCATCGACCTGGCATCGGCGACACATCGCCGATAGATCGGCCATAGGCTTCCGATAGCGAATCCGCACTTTCCTGGGCGAGATGGGACTCTCGGGCCCCTATCGGCGATCACTGGGCGATTGGGGGTCGATGCATCCCCCCCTATGCCTATCCTTCGAAAGTCCAGGGTTCACTAGGGACTAATTTCCCCCACAAAACGGTGGAACCCTTCCCGAAACCAGCCAAAATCATTGACGTTCCTTAGGTGTTGAAGGACTTTGGCATTTACTTCTTGTCGGTCTTCCGACGTCCCGAGACGGCCCAAGAGCCCCCAAAGATCGCCACAAGATCGCCCAAGACGCCTCCAGGATGGCCTCAGAACGGCCCAAGAGGCCCCCAAGACGGCCCCAAGAGGGCCCCAAGACGGCCCTAGAGGCCTCCAAGACGCCCAAGATGGACTCCAAGACGGCCCTGGAGAACCCCAAGAGGGCCCCACGTCGGCCAAGAAAGGCACCCCCCCCCGACCCCCTACGATGTCCAAGGAGGCCCCCAAGATGCCTCCAACCCAGGAAGCTCCCAAGAGGCCCGAAGAATGCCCCCAGAGGCTCCCGAGATGTCCCCTCCTCCTCCTCCTCCTCCTCCTCTTCCTCCTCTTCCATTCCCTTTTCCTTATCAATAACTTCTCCCTGTCGCACCACGAGGCTAGTTTTTCGGGGGGGGGCGGGAGTTTCGCCTGCGACATCCTCACCATGGATGACTCTGAAGCTTAAAAAGTGACAACATCTTTACAGATGGAGGGCGGGCCGTTTTCAAAATGTGGCTCTCGCCTTAGCACCGCGCACATCCGTTGTAAAACATTGCAGAGTTTCACGGATTGAGGGCGGGCCGTTTTCAAAATGTGGCTCTCGCCTCAGCGCCGCGTTCATTCGTTTCAAACATTTGCAAGAGCTTCACGGATCGAGGGCGGGTCGTTTTCAAAATGTGGCTCTCGCCTTAGCGCCGCGTTCATCCGTTTTACACATTTGCAAGGGTTTCACGCATTCAGGGCGGTTCCTTTTCAACATGTGACCCTCGCCTTGGCGCCGCGCACATACGGTTAAACAATTTGCAGGAGTTTCACGGATTGAGGGCGGGCCGTTTTCAAAATGTGGCTCTCGCCTTAGCGCCGCGCACATTCTTTGTAAAACAGCTGCAAGAGTTTCACGGATTGAGGGCAATTCCTTCCCATCTTGTGGCTCTCGCTTTAGCGCCGCGCACATCCGTTCATAAAGTTTGGAATAATTTCACGGATGCGCATGATCAACGTATCAGAAATGGTGTTTTGGAAAGGTGTAGGATTATGCGGGCGCATCCGTTATGTTGATTCGCGGTATTGTCCAAACATTGGCGTTCTGGCACGATTCCGGATCGTCAAGACGCAGCAGTCAGGTTGATGCGTGGGGTTGAAATCCCGAGAACAATGTTTTGGCATGCTTTCGGATCTTCAATCGGTTTTCTTGCAACGAGGCAATTCCCTCAAGGGAAATGAACCGTTGTAGGGGTCTGTGAAGAGGGGGCTTGGAGAAAGGGTTTATCTTGATATCTTTGATGACTTGTTGGGTTTACACTGGTCCTCCTCATCCTCCTGATCTTCCCCGCCATCACCCCCCAAGAATTCCCCGAAGAGTTTCCACAACGGTTGGAGGATCACACGGTCCGATACCATGGCAGAGCTCTCGCCACAACTCTCGGCCACATGGTCGATTCCAAAAGGCAGGTGTCGGCGGTGATTCGCCGTAGGCGTCTTCGATAACTTCCACGATCGTCGCAAACTCTGACTCCTTATGGGGTCGGCGAAATGGCTCAAGTCACTTGACTATTGCAACCGTTTCAATGATGGAAACCGGTTCGTTTTCAAACTGCGGTCTCGCTTTAGCGTCGCGCACAATTCGTAGTGAGACGTTGCAAGAACTCCTTCACGTGTGTGAGGGGGTCGTTTTCAAAATGTTGCTCTCGCCGGCTGCCGCGCATAATCGTCTCGAAAGTCTGCCGCAATATCAACGGTTGAAAGAGCGCTGTCGTTTTCAACATCGGGTTCTCGCCTCAGCGCCACCCGCATTGGTAGTGCAACGGCTAGCAAGATGGAAAGCTGCCCGTTTCCAACATGGGATTCAGCCTAGACTTCGGCGAGTGGAGAGGACCCGAAACTTCTGTGGGAACGCCGTGGACGACGATCTTGCTTTTTGTTTGGCGAGGGGTGGATTGCGGCGGCGGCGGCGGTGCCTGCGGCCGCGGGCCTCTACTCGACCGCCTCTGCCAGGGATGCTCGTGGAACTGTCGCTTGAAACTTCCTCAAACGTCATTGCCGCAAGTGTGAACTTGCGAAGCAATTGCAAGGATGGGGGCGCAGCCTCCTTCGGAAAGGAGGATCTCGCTGGACACCGACTTGAGCTGTATGATCCTTGCTTCCCGCGTCCCTCGCCATAAAGATGCAAGGCACGTCCGTTTCGGAACGGGGCCCTCGCCAGAGTGGCAGGCCTAACTGCGTTGGTCCTGCAAGAGGGGCGTGTCGTGCCGTGCGAAAGAAGACCGGTTTGCTCCCATCCTGATCCTCCTCGACGGGGAAGGAGTGGAAGTGGGGGAACGGGGAACGGGGAAGGGATGGAGGTCGGGGGGGGGGTAAGGGAAGAATTGAGTGGGTGCGGAGGGGAGAGGAGAGAAGGCAGAGAAGGCAGTGCTAAAGGAACGCTCGGGGGAGAAGGGGGGGAAGGGGGAAGGGGAGGGGCAAAGGAGAATGCAGAAAAAGAATGAAGAAAAGAGAACAACAACCAAGAAATCGCGTGAAGGCAGGAAACGGAAAGCGCGAGGAACCTGGGAACGAAGGTTACCGCAGAGGAAGTAGAGGGGAGGATGAGCATGCGGAGACGGAGGGGTGGAGGGGGAAGGGGGGAAAGTGTAGGATGAATTGGAAGGAAACTCTGTCCGAATTGAAGAGCCTCTGCCCTGTCATTCAAAGGTTCCTGAACAAGTACTGCTGTAGTGGAAACAACGCCGACAATTTTCCTATTGCAATCCCGCCACCGCTCTGGGTTGATGTGTTTGAAACATCCTCTCCCAACCATCTTCTCGCCTCCGGGAAGGGTTCATCTCTCCCCCATAACCCCTCTCCTGGGGGCGGGTCCACGATTTCGGGAGGAGTAAAGCATGATCCAAGAGGGCCTCCACTATTGCCCAAGATCGCACAGGATGGCTCAGAATGACGATGCTATTCCCCAGGAACGCCACACGACTGATCCAAGTGGACACGGAGTCGTCCAACGATATCCCCAAGAATCCCAAACCATGCAACACCTACAGAGTCAACAGTGGAGAGCCCCAAAGGGAGGCCAAGAGCGACCCAATAGCGTACCAAGAAAATCCGAAGAGGCATGTGCAATCATCCGATGGGGTGAGCCAACTTAAGGACCCCCTTCTCTCATCGACAGTCTCCAGGATGGCCCCGATCTGAAAGCCCAAGCCCCCTCAAGAGGGCCCTCAGAGAGCCCCAAGACGGATATAAAAGCACTCGGCAGGGTCCCAAAGAGCCCAAATATGCCCCAGAGGAGGCCCCCAGAAGCCTCTGACTTCACCCTTGTTGGCTTCTTTGCTTCACCGCGTCGGCCTGCTTTCTCATCAAAGGTCGCCTGGGACTCATTTCTGGATGGGCTGATGGGGATGCGCGAATCGTCCAGAACTCTTAATTAATTGACGACAGTCTCAACGATGTATGCTTCTTTGTTCGTTGCTTCCCGGAACTGAGTGTGCAGAGCAATGTGGCCTTGCACCCCCTACCTTGGCACTGAATACTAGCAGACTGTACAGCAGGATCTGTCCCCTGCGAACCAGCGCGCGAGAAATGCGCGCAACATCAGACCGAACGCCTCGAAAGGGGCGACTTTGCCTCCCTCGTGGTGACGGACGCTACGCTTACTAAGCTATGAAAGCCTCGCAACGGCTGAACGTCAACACCAGACCACTATTCGATTCGAAAACGTGACCCTCACAACAAAATCTCCCCACACCTCAACAATTGCCGTCAACACAATTGATCTGCGCACCCCTCGCCGTAATGCACACGCCTCCGACACTGGCGCTTCAGACAGATATCAGACGGTCCTGATAATCACCCCTCCTGAACTCTCGCATTGCCAGAGTCTCGAACTTGATGTATTTGTTCCTCAACGTGCCCTCGAAACCGAGGCTCGAATTCGTATGCCTTGGCAGCGAAGATGCCGAATTCTAGCCAGGAGAACAGCAGGACCATTAATTACTGATTAGAAGATGGAAACGTGCACCAATCGTGCTTCAAGCCATGGCCAGACATGTCGCAGTCGGCGCAACAGACATCTGGTGGTGACTGCCACAAATTCAGAAATCTGACACTCGCGAAACCAACAAAGGAAGTCATAAACACGGCCGGGATGACCTCGTCTGGCAATTCCCTTAATATCACGCCACTGGAACGCCACTGCCCGTGCATGTTTCCTCGGTAGAGTGTCAACTGTCTGTCCTTAATCATTAAGCCCGCCTTCAAGGGGGCGTTCCATGACATAGACGAGTCGCCAATCTGTCTCCAATTCAAGCCCGCTGTGCACACTGGCGTTCTCTGTCCCGGGAGGCCACTGGCGAACACCTTGCCGGACTCCGGGCTGAACGACACCGCGAACTCCTCCGAGCCCACGCGGCTCAGGTCCCGCGGAACCTTCCCGGACTCGAGCTGCCCTGGCGTCAGCTGGGCACGGGCATCCAGCAAACCTCGGGTCGGGCGAAAGGGGGGGATAGCAAAGGGGGGTTTGAGAATCAGCTCACGTAGCTGATTTTCCCGGCGCCTCCCGGCGCCGGAGGCGGCTATGTATCGAGGAATGGGCCCCTCGGCGAGGCCGAAACCAGCTGCATGCAGCAAATTTCGTAACCCCCCCTTTCCCAATCCCCCCCTTTCGCCCGACCCGAAAACCCACGCACGGAGTGCCATTGGGCGCCCTGGCCACCGTCAGCTCGAACTCCACGAACCACGGGCCCCGCGTGCCCAGGACCGCCCCCAGCAGCCGGGTGCCGCTCGGCGCCGCACCGCGGGGGTGGAAGCAGAGCTGCCTTCGGCTGCACGCGAGAGCGACCCCTGGGCAAGAGTGGCCTCTGGCGTGCGGCTTTGGGGGGGGGGAGGGCGCTGGGGGCCAAATCAGAGCGCGCAACCCGCTGCTGTCGGCAGGCATTCGGCCACGTGGGGACCCCAATGTGCCCGCACCAAAGGTCACTCCAGCGACGGGTCACTCTTACGTGTAGCCGATGCCTCGGCTTCAAGGACCTGCCCAGCCTACGCCAGTGGGGGCCGGGTCGGCCCCAGCCCAGGAGGGGGCAGACCCCCTCGAAGGAGGCGCGGGCCCGATCGTCCGCGGCCCGCATGGCCAGCCAGTGCGCCGCGCGCCCGCATGCCCCGAAGCTCAGGAGCGTCGGCATGTCCAGGTGCTCGGCGAGCTCCTGGAGCACGGCGTCCATGTGGCAGGCCATGGTCTCTCGGGGGGGCGCCTGACGCGGGTGGCGGTCAAGGGGCCGCAAAAAAAAGCACCGAAAAGCTTGCGCCATGCAAGGTGCCACGATTCATCGAGGCTGGAAGCATGGGGCGGGGGCGACGGCAAATATTGCGATTGCGGCTATCCGCGTGCATTAGCTAGTTGGCTCCATCGCGGAGCCGCCGCTGAATCCAAGGTCCGAGGAAGTCTCGCGAACTCTGACGCAGCTTCTCGGCATCGTCAGTACGGCTCCTTCACGCCACAAGCGTACCCCCTCATGTCGAGGGCGCGGCGTCTATATACATTACGAAGAAATCCCACACAATATCGTGATTCCTGCGCAAATTCTGAGGAAGCCCCCCGCGCGAGACCACGATCTTGAATAAGTTAAAGCGGGCGAGGCATCAGACAGGCGAGGGTACCCCAAAACATGTTTGCCGAGAGATGCCTCAAACAATCCCACCAGCCCTTTAGGGCGTAGGTGGTCTAGGGAGCTTCCTCTTCCAACCCCGTTCTTCCCCTTCGAGGAGGGATTCATCACTGTTCACTATGAAAATACACCACGGGCCGGCGGCCAACCCAGAACCTTGCCAACCCCATGCGGGCCCCCCCCCCCACCACCCCTGTCAACAAACAATGCAAAACGCACTCTGCCTCCACATTTGGAGCATGCGCGGCCAACCCGATGCGGCCCCCGCCACCATCCCTATCAAAACAAAAAAACAAAGTATAACAGACTGAGTCATGTTCGTGAGGCCCGCGAGCACTTTGTATGTTTTTGACAAGGACGGCGGGGGTGTCAGTATACTCCCTGCAGCGCGCAGGGCTAACATCCCAGACAAAAGATGATACAATTTGCACTTGCGGCTAAATCTGGAGCATGCGCGGCCACCCCGCGATCACTGCCAAGTGGTTTTTGACAGGGACGGCGGGGGTGGTGGCGTATGGCCTGCTGTGCGCAGGCCCACCAGACACAATGATGGACATTGGTCTTCGATAAGGATGGTGGGGGCCGACGTGTTTCCCGATGTGTGCTGTCACGTGCGCAGGCGCACCTGACATACCCTGCACGTGACCAGAACGTGGCGCACCTGGCGCGGCCAGTGTATGCAGCACACCTGGCGCACGTGGAACACGTGGCGTATCTGGTGCACCAGACGTGCCTGGCACGCTCGGGTCCCAGCGTCGTGCACATGGGGTCGGTGTTGGGTCCCAGTAATTAGCTCTCCATCCAAAGACGACCGCTGAACAGGCTCAGGTTCGGGTGTTGCTGATGTGTTGGGAGGGCGGGTGGGAGTGAGCTAGACGGCTTGCGGGCGGGTGGGTAGCTTGACCCCTCCCCTACCACTTCCCATGGACGTGGACGGGGCGCCCCACGACGCGTTGGAGCGCCCAAAGATGGTCCAAGACGGCTCCAAGGGGACCTCAGAGAGCCCAAGACGACCTTCACGATGACTCAAGATAGCCCAAGATCGCTCAAGATGGCTTCCAAGATGCTCCAAGAGGCCCCGAAGAATGCCCCCGTACAGCTCTAAGAGGCCGCCGAGACTCCCAGTGAGGCCCCCTAGAAGCTCAAACCCTTCAAACACTTCAGGACAGTCCATGATTGTTGCGTCCTCGCCCGTTTGCTTCCGATGAACGTCCGAGGCCTCAATATGGCTCCAAGGTGGCCCACGAGGGCCCAAGAGAGGCCCAAGAGAACCCCGAGACAGCCCCAAGAGCGCCCCAAGAGGCGATTTTAGACGCTCGGGAGGGGGGCGACGCCAATTAAGCACCTCGCCTTCTTTGATCGATGTCGTCCAAGATGGCCCCAAGAGGCACCCAGGAGGCCCCAAGAGGCCGAGAGATGGCCCCAAGAGGCCCCAAGAGGCCCCCAAGAGCCCCCAAGAGGTCCCGAACAGGACCCCAAGCGGCCCCCCCGAGGCCCCCCCCGAGGCACCCATGACGCCCAATAGCCCCATGGACCGCCGAGGGACCCCCAAGGCGTCCAAGAGGCCTCAGAGAGGCGCCCAAGAGATATCCCAAGAGACTCCGAGAGGCGTCCAAGAGGCCCCTGGCTCTTTTGCTCGCCCTCTTCCTCATTCTTCCTCCTCCTCCCTCTCCTCCTCCTCATCGTATTCATCATCCTTCTCCCTCCTCCCTCATCCATCCATCCTTCCATCCATTCATCCATGCACCCATCCTTCCATCCATCCATCCATCCAAGAAGTGACTCGTTGAGATGGAGCGCGCCCGATGAAACGGCACTTCAGCCTCGCACCACAAAACATAGCCTGACGAAGGACCCATCCATATGCAGGTGTGAGTACCGCAACTGTGATTCACTTTTTCCGATGGTGATTCCTCTGAGGCAACGAACCGTGCTAGGAGCGTGTCGAAATCAGAGGCGTGGTACACAACGCGAACGAAAACGAACAACACAATGCGGACTGCGCCACGGGGGCCTTCGGTGGGGCTCCTATGGGGCCACGAAACGCTGTACTGGGTGAGGGAGACGCATGCGGACTGCGCCACGGGGCCCTTCGGTGGAGTTCCCTATGGGGCCACGAAACGGGGTGTGCCGAAATGGGTGGCGGGGGCGCATGCGGACTGTGCCACTGGGACCTTCGGCGAAGCTCCTATGGGGCCACGAAGCGTGTGAGGGGTGTGCCGAAATGAATGGCGGGGACGCATGCGAACTGTGCCACTGGGACCTTCGGCGGGGCTCCTATGGGGCCACGAAGCGTGTGAGGGGCGTGCCGACATGAATGGCGGGGACGCATGCGAACTGTGCCAATGAGACCTTCGGCGGAGCTCCATGTGGCCACGAAACGTGTGAGGGGTGTGCCGGAATGAATGGCGGGGACGCATGCGAACTACGCCACTGGGGCCTTCGGCGGGGCTCCTATGGGGCCACGAAGCGTGTGAGGGGTGTACCGGAATGAGTGGCGGGGAGGCATGCGAACTGTGCCACTGGGACCTTCGGCGGAGCTCCTATGGGGCCACGTGCGATATGTGCCACTGGGACCTTCGGCGGGGCTCCTATGGGGTCACGAAACGTGTGAGGGGTGTGCTGGAATGAATGGCGGGGACGCGTGCGAACTGTGCCACTGGGCCCTTCGGCGAAGCTCCTATGGGGCCACGAAGCGTGTGAGGGGTGTGCCGAGAAAAATGGCGGGGAGGCATGCGAACTGTGCCATTGGGGCGTTCGGCGAAGCTCCTATGGGGCCACGAAACGTGTGAGGGGCGTGCCGACACGAATGGCGGGGACGCATGCGAACTATGCCATTGGGACCTTCGGCGGGGCTCGGGCCACGAAACGTGTGAGGGGTGTGCCGGAATGAGTGGCGGGGACGCATGCGAACTGTGCCACTGGGACCTTCGGCGGAACCTTCATGGGGCCACGAAACGTGTGAGGGGTGTACCGAAATGAGTGGCGGGGACGCCTGCGAACTGTGCCACTAGGACCTTCGGCGGAGCCCCTATGGGGCCACGAAACGTGTGAGGGGTGTGCCGACATGAATGGCGGGGGCGCATGCGAACTGTGCCAGAGTGGCGGGGACGCATGCGAACTGTGCCACTGGGGCCTTCGGCGGGGCTCCTATGGGGCCACGAAACGTGTGATGGGTGTGCTGGAATGAATGGCGGGGACGCGTGCGAACTGTGCCACTGGGGCCTTCGGCGGGGCTCCTATGGGGCCACGAAACGTGAGATGATGTTGACGATGCTGATGTTGATGAGGATAATGACGACGATGGTGACGATGACGATGGCGATGAGGATCATGATGATGATGAGGATGAGGATGAGGATGATGATGATGATGATGATGATGATGATGATGATGATGATGAAACGAGGGGATGTGTGAGGGTGAGGAGGACCAATGGACCGACCCCACCCCCGAGTGTCCGTCGGTAGACGATGAGGGACGATGGTTTTACCCAACGTACCTCCAAGTATCGAGTACCTGTCATCCGAGCCAAGAGGGGCGATGGATATGAGCAAGATAGGAGGAAAGTAGGGGGATTCACACACACCCCCCGTCCCGATCCCGCCCGATGCCAACGCACAAAAGCGAAAGGCACCGAAGCGGGGATCGGGATAGGAGAGTGAATCTCTACTGAACTCCTGTCTGCAATCCACTGCTTCGGCCCAGGAAGGAAAGGAAGGGACAGCCAAAGCTCTGTCGTAAGGTTCGTACCCAACGGCGGCGCTAACCTGCAAAAAGTTTTACAGCGCCAGCCGCCGAGATAGAACCCAGGACAGTGCTGTGGGCTGGAGAGAAGTGGAATGGAGAGACTGAACTCTTATGACACCGACCCAAACGGTCGGTGCCCGAAGCAACACATGATAATCATGAATATGAAGTCTTCAATCCAATACCAAATCAAAGTAATCAAATCAATCACGGTACGAGGGTGGTGAAAATCTTTTTATGCAAGTTCCATATCCAATCTGTACCAGATGCAATATGTACGTCTTGCCACAGTTCAAAACTAAAGGATATTTATGCAATTGTGCATTATGCGATTTTTTTTTTTTGAATCTATGTGAGTAGTATTATCCCATCATGAGGATAGCTGTCACCATAAACTTTCTCACAGTTGTTGAGTCCATGAAGAGGAAGAATCCTTGAAGTGATATACTGATCAAAAGGTAAGTGCGAGCGTCCTCGAATACTACATGTCATCGAAGAAAATGATATAATGCATCAATAGGCACATCAACAATACGATAAAGTTGGAAGCCATTCAAAATCTTATGGGCGGCATGGCGACCAGTTTCCTGGTGCATCAGCGTGGAGGGTCCCAGCGCCATGATCTGCCCGTATATTTCCCCGATGTGTACTTCTTATTCCATGCAGTCGCACCCCATCCATTGTTTGCGAACGGATCCCACGCTTTGATCCAGATGAACTCGCCCCAGTGGTCGTACCACTGGCGGTCATATGGTGCACTTTGCCTGTCATAATAGTGGGCACCGTATTCAGCACTGTACCCGTGGGTCACATTCGAGATGGCGGGGCGCTTTGCCAGAGGTGGTCCATCATCGGGACGCGCAGGCGCATATCTGGCAGCGGAGGCGGCATGGCCATGGCTGTCGAACGCGCCGGAAGAAGTACGATACTCGGATGTGTGTGGTGGTGGCTGGGGGGTTGGATCGGTCCCGCTCCCCCTAAAGTCACCCCCACTACTGCTTCCTGGAGCGTTGCCGCTGCGGTTTCCCGCTGCACTGGCGGTCTCCTGAAGCTGAGAGTAGTATTCTTCGCGCTCTCGCTTAACACCGGATCGGATCTCGTCCCGGGACCCAGTCAAAGACTGTGGGTGTGCACGAATTTCTGCGGCGGTGATGGCACCGCGGAGAGACTCGCCCGGAACGTGAACGGT